GGAATGGGCTGCGGCACGGCTGCGTACAAAGAGACACGTTAGCCGGTGAGCGCACGTTCACCCGGGAAACATGGCAGAGCCTTAGAAGGCTGCTGCTCCGCCTTTCCCTTCATTCCCCGGGCTGCTCCTCTGTGTTCCTTGTAAGGGGGTTATTACGGAGTGGTAAGGAAACAGCCGAATCTCATGATATGTGGTAGAACGTGAAACACTTTTATTTCAGGGCAGAGAATCATGAAGCGCCCTGTATTTAACCAGACCCCAGGTCCTGGCCCCTCGAGGCTGTTCACAGCACGCCGTTTCCCTCCTTACCTTGAAACTGATTTATCTGCTGAGCTGCAAACAAACTCCTCTGCTCAGAGGTTACTCCCAGCATGTTTTGTCTCTGCTTTTCCTGGAAAACAAGTGGCATAGTCGTCAAGTTGCAGTCTCCTGACAAACAAGAGCAGCGGCAGACACTTGAAGTGTAGCCACTGTCCTCATTAACAACCTCTCCGGTAAACACACACACACACACTTCTGGCGAGACTCAGCCCAGACAGTTCGTTTCAGACCAGATCTTAATTGCTCCCACGCCCCTTCTTGCAAAGGTGTCCTGACAACGGCCTGGCACTGGGCAGCGCAGCCCGAGGGGAGCTGGGTGGGCATGGGGACCCTCGTGTTCACCAGCTCACGCGTGAAGCGCAGCACAGCCCGCGGCCACAGGAATCCCAGCGTCTCCCAGTGCCTCTCCTGCTGACCATCTGGATGTGTTCTCTGCTGGTGGCCATCACCCTGTCTGCAGGATGGCTCTGCTCGTGTGGACCATCACCTTTTGTGCTGGTTGCTACTTCTAGCCAGAACATAGCAGTGAGCCACAGGGAGCCAGGGATCCTCAGCCGGTGCTCCCTCACCAAGGCATCGCTGGCTTTCTCCAAGTGACCCGATCTGCGTCTCTCACCGTTTAACCCCAGAACCCACCACCGCACTTGCGTCCCTGCTGTGGACAGCAGCTGTGAGCCGGGGAACTCTCATGGGCGGTGGAAGCTGAGGCCTGGCTGAGCTCCTGCTGTATTGGAGCAGCACAGATAAGCTTGAAGCCAACCGATGACAAGGAGGCACAGTTGGTTTTGAAAGGGAGTTTGATCAATGAGCAGGACAGTACTCAGCTGAGGCTTTTCCTGAGCTACTTCTCATCTCATTTCCCACCCACAGAAATGAGCCTCCTTGACCCAAACCCAGCAGCACACTCGGAAAGTGAGATGCACACGTTCCATGCTGCCTCACCCAACTTCTCTGTGGGATTCCCCCATCCCTGCTCCTTCACACAGCATGTTACTAACCTCGTACAGGGACTTCTGTTGCTAGAGAGACCGGAAAAGTCCTGGACAAACTGCAGTCTGACATCTGCTCTGGTAAATCTCCAGGGAACCAGAGAGAAAGGCAAGCACGGAGAACATCTCTCCTGGGGCTGACTCACTCTCCAAGCCTCCCTTCTCTGCATCTCCCCTCCCAGATCTGTGGCTGACCAAGGGTGACGGCAGCGATACGGAGGTGACTGCATACGAGTGGGCAGATCTGCACTCGGACCTGCTGCGCAGCGCTTGGCCCTGGCCTTTCTCTGGCATGACATCCTGGACTCAGCACAGCCCTAGTCTGACTCAACCCAGCAATTCCAGGGTCACTCCCTAGTGTTTGCTGACCGGTGATTTCCCCCTTCCAGTTAGTCCTGTCCTTCCCAGTGAGTGGACGGCACAGGAGCCCACACAGGCGCTCGGCAGCGTACCTGCATCAGCTGTCGTTTCATTATCTGCTGCTTCAGTAAATGGTTCCTCATCGTGTACCCATTCACCGTGGCTGGTGCCGGCACAGAGCCTCCGCTTGGGATGGAGCCCGGCTCCTGAAGTCTGGCAACAATTCCAGCATTTTGATCCTGCCAAGAAAGACAAAAAAAGAAAATTAATCTCATCAGGGAGGCAACAACAGAAGCCCTCATCCTCTCTGCTGATGTCCTCTCTCTGGTCTTTGGCTGTCCCAAGGCCAAAGCACCCCATGGATTCAGGACAGCGAGGGGCAGGGGACTGCTCTGATTTCTGAGGACCAGCACAAGAAGAAGTGAGAGAAGCAAAAGGTTAATCCAGAATTCTTTGTGACTAGCCCAAGGCTACGGGACTGATTCACTGCCACTACTGGAGTCACACGGCTGCCTGGCTGGCAGAAGGGATGTGAGTAAAGCGTCGCATTTCCCACCAGTTCCCCAACTGTTACACTGAAAGACAGAAGGAAAGAAAAGTTGCATCAGGGTAGGATTTGGCAACTGGATATAAATGAGAGGCCTACAGCGAAAGAAAACAGCAAACTAAAGGCAGAAGAGGGGAAAAGGTGCCATGAGACCAGGGATATGGAAAGATAGGGAAGACCTGGGCCTGGGACTGAAGTGGTACTTGTGGGTTCCATCATCGGACAAACAAGGAGAGCTAACCATGAAAGGAGAGGAGAACATGCAAAAACACAGGGTTGGGTCATGGCTGGGCATAAATCTGTAATGCAGCGGGGCCTGATTCCTGGCTGGTGCAAACCGGCCTCGCCGTAAGTCCTCAGTGAAAGAACGGAGCTGACTTTCACTAGCTGAGGACTTGCCTCCAAAGAGCCTTGCAGGGAGAAGAGAAAAAAAGAATCACAAGAACACCACGAACACACAACCCAAAAGGAAAAAAGAATTAAAAAAAATAACTGAAGTCTAAACGTCTTAGGAGCTGGCAGGTAGTCAAGGAAATAGAAGAGAAAAATGAGTGAAGAAGTCAAGGCCTCACTGAGGACAAGAGTCTGTAAGTGCCGTACTCAGGAACGGCAGTACCCACATATTCCCCGTTCTCCATTTTCACATACAGCTTCTACATTATTTATGCTGTTTTGTTATTATTGGCAGGGAGACGTATGTATATTATATCCAGCATCCTTAGCTGGGCCATGCTTCCTTTGTTTTCAGAATGGAAGCCCACATCCTTTGTTTGAGAATCAATGTTATCAGGAGATAAGCAAGAAGAAAACGGTTGTTGCCTTTTGATATCTGACAATTAGAAGCATGCTCAGATGGAGAAAACAGGATACGAGCCGTGTTTCAGAGTGGCCAGAAGAAAGCCTTGGAAGGCATTTGTCACCAGGCAAGCTTCTCGGGCCTGGGGAGCCTTTCCACAGCAGCTTCACCGTGAGGAATCACCCAACACCTTCCAAGATGGTCTTCGTAAGAGCGATTACCAAGAAGGTCACTGAAATTGCTCATTTTTATGGTGCCTCCTTTTGTTGTAGCACTTTGGTCTATTATGGAAAAGCACAATTTACGAAATGTAAATGCCTGCGAGATAATTTACTAAAAGACACAAACCTACAGCTCATCACCGCTCTCATTATCATTCCTATTCATGGGCAGTCTCATAAGACTAGACTTTATTACTGGCGCTTTGCTTACAATTCTGCTGAACATCTCTGCTCCTCCCCCTTCCCTCCTACTCATTTTACTCCCTTTCTCCCACAGAAAAAGAGGGAGGGGAGGAAAAAGTAAATATGGTTTACTACAGATGTAAATATGAAAGTTCATGTCAAGCTAGCACTTTGCTTTCATGTCAGACAGGATTCTGCAGCCACATTTAAGCTTTGAATAATGCAGATTGCCTCTAGGGGAATATTTGAAAGTGCAGGGATTCAGTTTGTGTACTCTGCACATGAAAGACACTGAAATGTTCATACCACCAAAATCCCTGCCATCTATCCAATTTCCTCCAAACTTGTCTTGTTGCGTGCAGAGGGTCTGTGCTTACTGAAGCAAATGAGTTTAGTGCAAGGAGAATCATTCTGATGTCTAGCTCAGGGCTATTTCATTAACAAGTCATAACATTAAAGTCGCTTTTCCTAATCATGTCCACCTCATTCTAATTTCTCCTAAGCATCATCAAGAAAATAATGTTGATTTTTCCATGTTATTAATGGTAAAGAAGTGTAAATCACATTGCTAATTTGCAGCTCTTGTGCTGTGGCAGTACAACAGCTTAATTATATGGGGCTTTCTGCAGGCACCCTATAGCAATAACGACAATCAGCGAAGTTCATTTGCAAATACACAGAATGGGTTGCGGAATTTTTCGGAGCAAAGTTGTATAACACTAAATTAGCCAGTAAAGAAACAATCTATAGATACAAGTTTTGCTTTTGGGTAAATTAGGACAAAATAGCATAGATGGGAAGACAAGGAACGAACTACAAATCTTGCCTTCTACAGTTCACATTTAGGTTAAGCCAAAAAAAAAAAAGAAAAAGGAAAAAGGTTCTCTCTTTTCGCCACTAGTGGGAACTACTGTATTCCCTTACAATAAAAAATCATTTAAACGTCATGACTAAGAATAGCTCTGTTGTAGTCTAAAGGACACTGCTATCTGTACCAAAGGTTAATGAACTTTAAACATTTTTCCTTTTCATCAGTTCCCAAGAAAAATCACTTTCCTTCCCACAGTAAGGCCAAGCCAAAAAAGCCATAATCTTAACTCGTCTGTAGTTTGGACTATCCCATTTTAAAATCCAGGAAGACAGCAAAGAGAGGAGGATTCTAACGTGGAAGTGGGGAACGCTGGAAGCGGGTGTTCACACCCACAGGGTCGTGCGGCTGAGCCCGCCGCAAGCTGCACTGGGTGGAGGATACAGGCGGCTACAGGCGATTCTAGTTCTGCAACTTCAGAAAAAAAATGCGTTTGCATGTAGGTATCAGGTTTTTTGCTATTTTTCCCTCCAAAAACTCATATTAAAGCATCAAACGGGCAGAATCCCTAACCAAACGGCACGCCTGGAACTGGAGAGCATGTGTTTGAGAGCATGTGCTTCTGTTGCTAGGCAAACTGTCGCACAGCAGGTCCGGAGCTCCCGCCGTGCTCCCCGGGCTTTCCATGCGGCAGTTGCTGTTCAGAAAGGCACTGGGGCTAGCTTCGTGGTTTTGAGTTAGCACCTCACCCACTAGTTTTGAGAGCAAGGAGGAAGGAATCAGGTTCCAGGTTTGCAGGAACGCGTACTGCTTGTGTCCGCAGCCAGCCCCTGACTGTAGCTGTAACAGCCACTGCCCAGCCCAGTGCGACCAGTCCCTCCAGCCGCCCGGCCGGTGCACGACGTCAGGCTGTTCAGCCTGGGCAAACGCATCTGCAGATCGCTGCGTCCAACCGTCCTGGGCACGGCTCTGGTCCAACAGACCACTCGGGCACAGGCTTCACGCAAACCGTGCGAACAGCCCCAGCGAGACCTGCCACGTGTATTTCTGAATCTGCAGCCTTCTAAAGATCCACTGACGGGCTCGACCTGCCCGGCCCGGCATCTGATCACACACGAGACGCACAACGGCAGCAAATAAGCGTGGAGATGAATTGTTCTCTGTGAACGCGGCTGATAAACTCCAGTCCTCAGCACTTAGTTATATATCCAGTAATCACTTTGTGGCTTCACTTAAGCGAGAATGGAGAAATTTATGGCCTCTAATTCCTCTGAATCCTCATTAACAAACAGTCCAAAAAGAATTTAAAAGCAAGACTTTCTGAGGATTCAAGCTAGAGCTTTAATCGCTCTTTGGCAAATATGTAAAAATCCCTCTAATCTTTAATAAAGAGCATTCATTGTTTTTTAGGACTACGTGAAAACACTAAACTCATTTATCATTATTAAACTTTCCCATCTGCTCTCACGGTGTAACTCCAAAGAATCTAACAAAGAAACGTACATGTTAAATTGTATTGACTTAAGCCCAGAGCTATTGGAGACGTACAATTTATTTCAGTGAGGGCATGAAGGGGACTGCAGGCTGCTAGACAGAGTCATTTGTCCAGTGCTGAAAAGACAGTTATCTGCACCAAAATGGCTCTTGGAAAGGCACATTTGCTTTATAAGAAATAAGCTGCCAGGTGAGACCATTCAGCATTATGTTACAGACCCAGACAATAAAACTAAGCCATGAATTTCAATAGTTAACAGATGGACTAATTAAAGACCGAATTCTTGGTGGTTCTAACAGATAACCAGGTCACGGCAAGGTTACTGAGAGAGAGACCGGCAGCTCTGCAAATTTCAGTAGATATTTGCAGAGCTGGGGAAGAACTGCACTTCCTAACTGAAAGCGTTCGCAGAAGTAGAAGGACGCAAACGTGTCTAATCTGCACATAGTACCGGCATTTAAAAAGTTTATTCCATTTCAAAAGACACTGCTGATTTAGAAATATTCCCTCCACTTGCAGCGGGGCATCCAGCTGAACCCAGTAATTACAGACCTTAAACCAGCAGGGTTGTTGAGATGAGGCACAGCACCTCAGCAGAAAAGACCAAAAGAAACGGGTCGCTCAGGGTAGGTGTTCGCTGTCAATACGAGAAAGGGACAAACTGCTTTTGCCACCAGGTTTTTTTTGTAACCAAAGATAGCTTGGAGTATTTATCGAGACATCACACAGGAAAAATAAAAGAAAAAAACCAACAAACCAGAGAGGAAAAACACGGCTACAGGACTTGACCGGCGCTGGTGCTTCCGACCCACTCCGGGGCCGCGGCTGCTCTGCCAGGGACCCTGGGTGGATCCGTATTCACGGCAGGGACAGTTACGCTCCAGGGGTGGGGTGAAGTTTCATTAACCGAGTTTTGTTCTGTATTTTAAGAACATCTGTTACGTATGGAGAGCTCTGTACTCCGCTGAGGAAATGCAAATACTGGTTTCAGAGTGATGCCTCTGCGTTTCCCCCCTGCTCCCGCCTGCCTGCCGGTGCATCGTCTTCTGCCTAGCCGGTGCGCTGCATCTCCTTGGTGGGCTTTCAGGCCTGGGCGGCACTCCACTCTGAAGTCCAGGACCAAGACTCCTAGGCACAAGACTCCTAGGCACAACAACTCTACAAATACTACAAACTAAGCAATCAAAAC